CCACCATTTGACAATAGAGCTCATAATCATTGTTTAATTTTTGATATATGTGAAGGTTTACGACCACCAATATTACCAGGAATGCCTGATGATTATGCACAAATGATGGAGAAGTGTTGGGATGTGGATCCATCAAAAAGACCAACTATTAGAGAACTTTATTATTTTGCTAAAGATAAATATGAAGAAATTCTTAAAAATAACAATGATAATAATAGTGTTAGTAATAACACCACTAGTAGTGGTAGTAATGATTTACAACAAGTATACAAACCACATCCAGATGCATATCATACAAGTAGAATATTAGATGGTGAAATTATTAAATCAAGAGGCTTAAAAAGTTATACAAGTAATGGTAGTTCATTAAATAATCTTGATTTCCCTTAATGTTGAATGTGAATAAAAACTTCATTAATTAATTAGAGATTAATTACTACCAACAATATTTTTTTATTCCGATTTAATCAATTAGATTCTAGTAATGATAGTAAAGGGAAAGATATTGAAATAATTGATAAGATTGATGGATTATCAATGGATGGTTGATTAATTTAATATACACTATAAATTTACTTGATATATTTATCTTCTTTTTCATTTTGTTATTTATTTCTTAAAACTAAATTGTAATAACATATAAAAAAAAAGTTTTAATAAAACTATAAATTTTTGATTATTATATGTAACATTAGCATTTACATGTAACATATACCTGAGAACTTTCCGAGTATTAGTATATTAACGTACTGACTTTAATCCATTGTGGGGAAAGTGTCAAATATAAGACAGCCTTTTAAACTTAAAATTGGGCCCGCAGCTCTAGTCACCCCAGGTAGTGCATTGAAGGTCACAAAGTCACCATTCTCTGAGATATAACTACTAATAATCTCCCTTTTCTTTCCGGGTGAATGGTGTTTTGATTCTGCAAATAACCTTAGCTTGAAGAAAAGTTAGCTCAATAAGACATGTTTCTTTTTTCCAAATTCCCAAGATACAACATTCACATCATTTACCGAATTATTAAAAAAATGAAATGATCTTCCTTTAATTGTTAGTGAAGGCTTAAATATGACAATTGAGCTATCACAGAAAAATGTTCTGTAGAAATACTATTCTCAACAAATAAATATTTTCAGTTTTTTAAAAAAGCATTAAAAGCTATTCTTGATAGAAATTGTTATTGTACATTAATAAATACCATTTCCTTATTACCTACAATTAGAGGAACAAATTTCCCATTGTTTGATTGATATTATTTGCATACTAATACAATTTGTTCTTCAATTCACGATTTTATTTTTATAACATCCGGAAAACTATAGTCTGGATGAATTTGCATAAATATACGGATAATTCACATATATTCTTTATCGCTTTCCTAGATTCCCTTTGGAAAAATAATAACATTTATGTTATTAACAAGGCATCAACAGCACAACCTATACAAGGTATTTTTTTTGGATCAGTGTTTTTTCAAATTAAGATTTTGCAATTTCTAGCAAATGATCTCGCATCACAGTATCAATAAAGATTATCAGTTATACTGAATTCAAAACAAAAAAAATAATTGGTACAATATCTTGTAAATATTTTGAAAATAATCAACTATGTCAGATCCAAAATACTTTGTATAGTAAATGTATCGGTAATGAATACGATGTATCTTTGCCTTTGTTAAAAGGGTATTTATAATTGCTGGACATGTATTAAATGTATGCTTGTGTTATTAAAATAAATAGAGCTTTATTCGATCAACTAACTGATTAAAAAAACTAATTTAACCAATCGAAGCTGCCAATTGGTTGATCAATTGGTTGGTATATATAGAGTAGATTGATATTAGACGGTTTTCTCCAAAATAGGCAGAGAGAGATTTCAGCAATACAGACAGCACTCATTGAGTTTGCTTATTCACGCCTTGATACTGTAATATTACTGGCGTTGCTGTAAGAGAAATAGCACAGTCATGTAATAGACTAGAGCATCTTGACCCCTATGCACTCAAGACAAAAATTTTTTTTGAACCAATCTATAAACTCAATAGTTGATAGATACTCTCTTGATTCATACACTCCCTACTATTATTTTAAATGTATGTGTGAATGATTGATTATACGCATTTATTCAAAATAACAAAAATAGATTATGATAAATATAAATATATAAAAATACATTATTTATTGCAATTGTTATATCCCACCAAATTGTTTAATCAATTTTAATAAATTCAAGTCAAATAATTCACTACGAATAGGCATCTCAGGTGTATAAAAAGGATTTTTCATTGCATAATCACTATAAACAACATATGTACGATGCAATAGCACATCAATACTTGGATGTGCTGGATCTGCTAAAATTAAAAATTTTGTTCCTAATTCCAAGAAATTTTTTTAATAAAATATAATTAGTTTTATTATTATTATTATTGTTTAGTGGAAAATCAAATCAAATATCTTTTTTTATTAATTAGAACTTTACCTGTTAAAGTCTGATAACAGTATAATTTAAATGTGTCGGCTTCTAGTACTTCTAAACCTGAAGATGTGGAATTTCTAACAGGTGAAATTTGCGAAGTGATTGCATGCACACTTTTACAACAAATGGATTTAATAAAATGAAATCTAAAGTTTTTTAAACACACACTCTCAGAGTATAATTAGAAATACCTATGAAGAGTACCAGCCAGCACTAAATATTCATTAGCAGATAATTTTGCTAAACCTTCATTAAAATCTTTTTGATAAATAAGACCACCGGCTTTATTAATTATGTATAATGAAAAAATCATTTTTTTTTTTATTTTTAATTTTTAAAATAATACACACACAATTCAATTGGAGTGAAACCAAAATTATAAATATAGATATATTTCATGTGATCAATAAAAAATACAAAGATAAAATTTATTTTTTAAAGTTTGTTGCTTTTTTCGTATTTTCCATTAATTTCTTCAGAAACAAGTCTCATATCTTTCAAAGCGCTTAACATACTTTCTTTAAATTTCTTTGTATCAGTTTCTGTTGATGATTTTTTAGATTCCATACCAAATTTTAATACATGTTCACCTGGTAAATAATTAATTCCGTAACCATTTGGATATACACAACCAAACCCAGTGCCTATGTATATATATAATGTTATATAAAATATATCATCAAACACAAATAAATTTTCAATGCTGGATTTTTTATAAATATGACTTTACCGTTAAATTTAGTGCCAGTGGTTAAACCACTTGTACTCAATAACCATTCTTGACTTTTTGCAAAAATAGGATGTTGGAA